ATCCGGTGGAAATTAGACATCCCCTTGCATAAGGGCTTCGGGGAGGTGAGGAGCAAATCAGAGTGCAGTGTAGTAACATATCCGGCTGGAGATGGAGGAGGTGCATTGGCACAGATAGGAACTGGAAATACAGTGAACCCAGGACAGATGAACCCCCCAGGATCAGTGGAGAGAGTGGCGATGACAGGAGGGTAGAGGGAAGGAGAGGGAGAAAGGGGGAACAGATGACAAGGTCTACATGTGGCCTCCTCCCTGGGGGACGGACAGCGGAGAAGTGGGTGAGGGAGACATGGGATGGGATAAGATATGATAAAATAATAATAAATTATAAATTATCAGGGGGGAGGGGGGAGCGGGGGAAATGAGCTGACACCAGGGGCTCAAGTGGAAAGCGGGTGTCATAAGAATGATGAAGTCAACATATGTACTAATGTGCTGGACACAGATGACGTATGTACAGATTGTGATGAGTTGTATGAGCCCCTAATAAAATGATTATATTTAATTTTTTAAAAAGTGAACAAGTTCCAGCAGAGCTTCCGGACTAAGAACAGACCAGGAAGAGGGAGCAGGCTGTCCTCTTTGGAGGAACTCACCACTGGAAGCCTTAGGGAGAGGAGTAGACCCAACACACTGTCAGAGCCAGTGCAGAAGATGGGCCCCGTGGGAGTGGGCTGAGGCCTCTCTCCAGGTTGAATCACCATGTCGAAGGTGCCCTTTAACACCATGCCGACGTCAGCCCCACGGCTGCCCTGGCAAAGGACTCACGTGTCCCTGAAAGGAACCCTTTCACAGCAGTCTTGACGTTTGCGGCAGAAGGATTTAAAGTGCCTGCAGCAACAAGTGCCGTTATTACCAATGATGGGACAGGAATACACCCTACACCGATGGCTGGAAACGTCTTTCTAAAGCATGGCTCAGAACTGCGAGTTCCTTCTTAGCGAACATGTCCGAAGCTGTTAATAGCTGCTTCAAGGAATAAACTTGCAGAATAAATTTGTTTGTTTTGTTTTTGTGGAGCTTTTTGTAAAATTCAAATCAAGCTCTATAAAACGCTCTGAAAATGCCCACAGTCAATGAGAGATGACTTTCCTAGCCCTGTTGTTACTCACGTGCTGAGTGGGAGGAGGGGGCACTTACTGAATGTGACTGCTCATGTAGCCCATGACTGCCACCTCACAGCATGCACAGGGAGTTCCTGTCCGGGAAATAGATGATCAAAACTGTATAACTGGAAGGTCCTTCTGATCATCTGAAACCATTTGGAAATTTAAACTTGACTGAATCCTGAATCTTAATTATTTGTCCTTGAGTTAAAAATGTATATACGTGTTGCTTGCAAAACAGCAAGCTGTCATTCAGAAAATCGAAGCAATATCATCAAAAAAACAGATACCAGTTCCGCCATCATTGACTCGGAGAACATTTTTGTCCAGTTTGCTACCTTCCGAGGAAATGCTTCCTGATGCCCCATTCAAGGAGGATGTGCAGTGTGGTTAGTCAACTGAAGAACGCACTGCCATCAGTCGATTCTGACTCACACCGACCCTGCAGGACAGCGTCCAGGTGCTACTGAGGGCTTCCCTGACTACATACTGGTGAGCAGGCAGCTCCCTCGGTCCGTGCCCGGTGGGTTTGAACCACTCATGGGCAGCACAATGCTTAACCCACTGTGCCACCAGCGCTTCCTCTAGTTCATAAGCCAATGGCAACTATTACCCCATGACATCATCAGTAAAGACAGCAAATCCTGCATACGGAGCGACCTAAGGCGGACGAGCGTCGGAGAAGGAGAACACAGCCGTTTCCTGCTGGGAAAGTGGCCAGAATGCACCCGTGAGCCCCAGATCAAGAAGGCGGTCCCGTGGGGGTCTGCTCTCAGGGGGTTCGCTGTGAGGTCATTTCTTGGTGGATCATTCATTATCTTTTTGAGCATTCTGGTGTTGTGTGCTGGGATGGTTGCCCTTGACCTGTGAAGTAGATTTGGACACGTGGCAACGATCCCCTGCACTCTCTAGGGCAGTGGTTCTCCACCTTCCTCATGCCGCGACCCTTTCATACAGGTCCTCTTGTGGTGGTGACCCCCAACCATAAAATTATTTTCATTGCTACTTCATCCCTGTCATTTTGCTATGGCTATGAATCGTCATGTAAATATCTGATAGGCAGGATATATTTTCATTGTTACAAATTGAACATCATTAAAGCATAATACAAACAATATGTCATTCTATATTGTGAAATATTTATTTCTAATGACAAAGAAATGAAATGTTGTCTTGAAGCATGGTGTAGCATGGGTGACAGTCTTCATGCTGGGTACTGGTATGTGGGCGTATCTGCATGTGGGCGGACCCATCTGGAGACAGAGAGAGCTGTGGGGTCTCCGTTCCTAAGACCATCGGAAATACGTGTTTTCCGATGATCTTAGGTGGCCCCTGTGAAAGGGTCATTTGAACCCCCAAAGGAGTCGCAACCCACAGGTTGAGAACCGCTTCTGCAGGGGTTTCAAGGCCAGCCTTTTTAGGAAGCTTTCCTGAGCCCCTCTGAAGGGGTGAGAACTGCCAACCTTGGGGCCAGCAGTCTGAGGCCTAACGGTGCCCCCGGGGGACTCCTTGGCAGAGCAGCGACCATTACCTTGAAGACAGGTGGTGGAGATCATTTCTAGAGGAGGGTTTCCGGTTGCTTCCTTCATGCCTCCCTGCAAGCACAGAGGGAGACGGAAGGCAGGTTCACCTGGCTCGGCATCAAGGCTGTCATGGTCCCCATGGATGTGTTAAGAGGCCTCTGATCCTGGCAGATGATTTCTCTCCACGTGGAAGCCTTGCTTTGCTGGTGGACACTTTGCCCCCTCCTCGTGGGGACTTAAGAAGTAAACGCTACCGCACGGCCTTCCACACCTCAGTGCTGCAGCTACTGCCTGGGTGGGAAATGGTTTGCATTTCAGATTGCTTTTTTTTTT